GAAATAGTATGCCAGAAGATCTCTTCGACTCCGAAACCAAACCCCAAAATCTTGGAACCTGGAAGCAAAACCCCAGCACGGCAGGCCCAATGGAAGCGAAGATGCAGCCGAGAACCCAGATCCAATAGGGGTTTTGAGCGATGCTAAGCTAAAGCGGTTTTAGCTGGGTTCTGGATTGTGGAGACTATAGATTTAAAGAGGTCGCGAGTATGAGGTGTTGTGTAGCATCCTAGAGTTCTTGCAGCGGACACTATTCTGATTGTTTCCGGTCGGGCACGAAAATTCCTGGCATGTACCTCGAGTCCCAGACCTGGAAACTTAATTGATGACCCTAATCAGCTTGATTGTTGAATACGAAGAGCTTTTTTCTGATGTTGTCCCATCCAGGATATATCCTACTAGTCGCAGAGCTTACAGCGTGCGCGGTTAAAGGCCTGTTCTATTTCTTCGCGGGGATGAGGTCTGAGGTCTGGGATTCTATCCCTCTATCGTTCTGAAACCGTAACCTCGGATGTGCCTTCATGGCCTGGCAATCCTTCTCCGCTAGCTTGTACTGATCGGCGTGCTCTGCGATGCCAAAGCAGTTGTACTCACGGAATGCAGCATCCATCGGGTTCTCCTTGTTCGGCCCGAAGAGCTCAGGTGTGTCCTCGATTTGGTTCGGAGCCGGAAGCACAGGAAGGGATGTTAGGGGTTTAGGGTTTTAGGGTTTCAGGGCTTCAGACTTTTAGGGGTTTAAGGTTTTAGGCTGGAGGGTTTCGGTTTCAGGGTTTGGGGTTTTAGGGTATCAGGGTTTCAGACTTTTAGGGGTTTAAAGTTTTAAGGTGGAGGGTTTAGGTTTCAGGGTTTTGGGTTTTAGGGTTTCAGGGTTCAAGGTTTAGAGTTTAAGGTTTCTTCCGGACATTCAGTTCATTATGGCAAGCCTCTGCTAGCATCTGCTGTGCTCTCTGATGAAACCTCAAAGCCATCTGCAAGATGTTCTTGCGTTGCCTGTCAGCCGCCTGGGCTGACAGCTGCATGTTCCTGTAGCTGTACTCGTGGCTAAGTCGAGGCGTGTAGATCACTTTGATGTAGAGGACGTTCAGGAGCC